CTTCCTTTCCCTTTATAAATAACTCAAGGTGGCGAACACGCACTGTGATATTTCCTCCTTGTATATTCCCCCACAACAACAACTCTGAGAAGTCATTTGGACTGAGAGAGGGAGTGACTGGCTCAAAGTCACCCAGCCAGCTTTCATACCCAGGACAGGACTAGAACTCACTGACGCCTGGTGATTGGTCCAAAGTCACCCCGAGGGCTTTAATGGCTAAGGCGGAACTAGATCTCACTGGCTTCTGGTGATTGGGCCAAAACCATCAGATAGCTTTCATGTCTAAGATGGGACTAGAACTCACTGACTCCTAGTCATTAGCCCAAAGTCACTCCTGGTGATTGGTCCAAAGCCATCAGATAGCTTTCACGCCTAAGGCAGAACTAGAACTCCCCGTTTCCTGACCTCTAGCCTAGCATCGTAACCATCATATCAAACTGGACATTAAAGCAGCGTTTCTTTAAGGATGTCAATGCCTTTGTAACTTGGAACGGTCACTAAACAAATAGTCGTAAGCCAAGGACTACCTGTTATAGCTTACTAGGTGACAGTTTGTACTGGTTTGCTTGTAGCCATTTCTAAACTGAGTTTAGTTGTTCACGTCTCGTGCATTCTACAACCCTAACCACAATCTTTCCTTCGCAAGCATGCCTGAAACAGCGATCACATTATTGCTTGACTAGCGTAGTTGCTGTGAGAGTGGTTTTCTGAAATTTTTGTGTCCTGTTGCTTCTAAGGAAATTCAGGATATCTTGGCTTCTGGCCAGCCTGGCAGCTGTACCCATCAAGATGCAGATCCATGGCTGGAGATGAAACCCCTCAGCAAAGTTATTGATGCCATATGCTTAGAGACTGCCCAAGGCTTCTGGTTGCTTGTGACAATGTAATTTCATGAAAAGATAAAAGTTCTGCCCCATCCTCACTTTTTCACCAGGGGAAATCACATAGTTTGGAGAAGCAACATCCTGAATTTCCTTCTTCCCCATTATGCCTGAAATCTCAATTTGCTTTTTTTCTACCAAACCTCCAACTGGATTGAATTACACACCACCCTTCGAAGCGATCCTTGCCTTTGGACAAATTGAAAGAACACGGGGACAGTTATAGGTAGTTTCTTCACTTATAGCAGTGGTTCTCAACCTTTTTAATGCTGCAACCCGAACCGGTCGTAAGTTGAGGACTACCCAACCGGTCATAAGTCAAGGACTTTCCCTGCCTGGGAGCGCCACGCATGTGTGGTGCTGCCCCCTGCGCCGGCCGAGGTGTAGCTGGCAAGGGGCAGCGACAGAGCAGGCCGACCACTGGCTGGGCCACCAACTGGCCCAGCCCAAGGGAGGTAAGGCACCCGCTGGGTCCCACGCGCGCCAGCAACCCTCCCTGCACCTGCCGGCCTCCCACCTCCCACCCCTCGCCCTCTTTTAGTTACATTTTTAGTAGTTGTTCAGCAGGGAGGGGTGGAAGCTTCCAGACAGCTCGCCTTCGCTGCAGACAACTTGCAGCACCGTTTGCAGACTGGGGCTTTTGGCGGGCTCAGCAGGGCAGAGACAGCCTGGACAATTCCTATTGGCTTTTGAAAGCCAATAGAATTAGACTCTATTCAAGAGAGTCTATTCTATTGGCTTTCAAAAGCCAATAAATAGAATAAAAGGGAGTAGCACAGCTAAGGAAAAGGGGGAAAAAATGGTGGACTGCGTTGTTTAGTGACCCCCGTGAAATGGTCATTCGACCCCAAATGGGGTCGTGACCCACAGGTTGAGAACTGCTGACTTATAGCCATTCGTTTAGCGACCTTTTAAAGTTACAGCGGCCCTGGGGGAAAAAATGGCTTATGACTGTTTTTTACCCTTGTAGCGGTCGCATCATCCCCATGCAGTGTCCTGGGGTCATGGGATCCCCTTTTGCGACCTTCTGATGAGCAAAGTCAGTGAGGAAACCATTACAGCATCATCCACACAGTCATGTGGTCAAAATTTGGCTGCTTGGCAGCTGATTCATATTTATGACAGTTGCAGTGTCCCGGGGTCATGTGATCACCTTTTGCAAATGTTGAAGGAAAAGTCTTCATCAGGGTCCAGTCCAAGCTGGGAATAAACAACATGGCGACTGCTTTAGAAAGAAGGTTGCAGTTTATTGAAGAGGAGAGCCAGACAGAAAGGTGGCTCTGGCAGAAAAGAGAGAGCGAGCACATGTAGGGAGTGGGTTTTTATACCCTCTGGAGGCTTTTGTTTGGAGTTATTCCTGTGGTATGAACTTTGACCTGAGTCTGAGTTTGCCTTTCTGGTATTCTGATGGTGGTGGGTTAATCCTATTATGTCCCAAAGGTCATATCCTGCTTCCCTGGGTCTGTGGCTGATGACTGTTGGATTTTTTTTGGTGTGAAGGACTGTTGATTCTAGGAATCTTTCCTCCTAATCCCAGTTTCCTGATTCTAGTCTTTCTGACAAGATTATGACATCTGTATTTCTGCAGACTTGGTTTCTGTTTGGGACAGAAAGACTTGGGGTGGGATTGGTTTCTGCCTTTAAAATCCTTTAAGGAAATATATTCTGCCTTTTAAATATTTCCAAGAATATTTCTTTTCTGGGGGTGGTGACTTCCCACACAAACGTCTGACAAGCAAAGTCAATTTGGGAAGCCAGATTCACTTAATGACTGTTATTAACTTAACAGCTACAGTGATTCACTTAACAACAGTGGCAAGAAATGTCGTACAATGGGGCAAAATTCACTTAACAAATGTCTTGCTTTGGGCTCAATTGCTGTTAGAAATTCTGTTTATATAAAGCACCACATAGAGCAAACAAAGAGTACAGTCACCATGTGCTTTACTGCTCAACTGTTTTAACTGTAACAAGAAACAGAAAATTCTACTTAGAACAAAAAAGCATAGAGTATATATCATAGATCCAAACTTGTAAACACTGCCATCTACTGGTTGAATACTACTATAGTTAGTGCATAGAAATTCATTCCAACAATGAATCGCAACAATTTGGTTGTGAGTTGAGGACTACCTGTAATGGCTCCTACTAACCCAAGAGCTGAGTTTCAGGGACTGTAAGTATAGGAGCAATAAATAAAGAGCCTGGCATCTAATCAAGCAACTAATCAAAGAGAGATCCAACCTAGAATTAGGGAGAAATTTCCTGACAGTTAGAACAATTAATCGGTGGAACGGCTTATACCTTCATAAGTTGTGGGTGCTCCATCACTGGAAGTTTTTAAGAAGAGATTGGCCAACTATTTGTCTGAAATGGTACAGGGTTTCCTACTTGAGCAGGGGGTTGGACTAGAAGATCTCCAAGGTCCCTTCCAATTCTGTTATTCTGGGAGAGTTAATTTCAGGTTAAATGAATGCCTTGCAACCAAGTTAGGAATTCCTTCTCAGTCTTTGCTTTGCTCCTGCACAAATATAAGCATCTGTATAAATGTAGCACTGCCAGACTGAGTTGAAAATAGTCTGGGAACGATCCTTTGCTCTTTTTACACGACAGTCAATAACAAGTCTCCTCATCAGTCTCTTTCCTCTGAGACGGTAATAATATGGAACGTCCCTGCTATTCCAATTGACTGAAACGCCATCGCTGCATTGCTGTGTTCCTACTTAAAAGCCCATCTTGTTTCAACAGTTATGTTAGTTCTGGTGCATAAATGCTTTTTAACAAATGTTTTATGGATGCTGGAGAATGCCGTTGATGACTGTATTCATGGTTCTTGACTTAGCGAACACCACGCTACTGCTCAGAAGAGGATTTAGAATAGAATAGAATAGAATAGAATAGAATAGAATAGAATAGAATAGAATAGAATAATGAGGTAGAATAGAGTAGAGCAGAGCAGAGCAGAGTAGAGTAGAGTAGAGTAGAGTAGAGTAGAGTGGAGTGGAGTGGAGTGGAGTGGAGTGGAATGGAATGGAATGGAATGGAATGGAATGGAATGGAATGGAATGGAATGGAATGGAATAGAATAGAAGGGACCTTGGAGATCTTCTAGTCCAGCCCCCTGCTCAAGCAGAAGAGCCTATACCATCTCAGACAGATGAATGTCTAGTCACTTCTTAAAAATCTTCCAGTGATGGAGCGCCCATGATTTCTGAAAGCAACTTCTGTTCCCCTGGTTGATTCTCCTCACTGTCAGGAAGTTTCTCCTTAGTTCCAGGTTGCTTCTCTCCTTGAACAGTTTCCCAACCATTGTTTCTCGTCCTGCCCTCTGGTGCTCTGGTGAACAACGTGACCCCCTCTTCTTTGTGGCAGCCCCTCAGATACTGGAACGCTGCTATCATGTCTCCCCTATTGCTTCTTTTCTTTAGACTAGCCAGACCCAAGTCCCGCAGCCGTTCTTCGTATGTTTTAGCCTCCAGGCCTCGTATCATCTTAGTTGCTCTTCTCTGATTTTTTTTCCAAAGTCTCAACATCTTTTTTGTGATACGGTGACCAAAATTGGCTGCGGTATTCCAGGTGTGGTCTCACTAGGGTTTCATAAAGTGGTACTAATACTTTGTGTAACTGAGTAAGTGCAGTGGTTCACTTAATAATTGTGACAAGGAAGGTCATAAACTGGGGAAAACTCACTAACTCAATGTCTTGCTTAGCAACAGAAACGTTAGGCTCAATTGTGGTCGTAAGTCGAGGATTATCTGTACTTGTCCTTTTAAAAATGTTCCGCACAAAAACGTCCACCTTTCTTTGCCTGTTTCCCCATGTTTAACATGTTGTCAAAGTTCAGTGAATATTATAAGATTTGGGTATTTGCCTGGAGGAGGTCGAAGGGGGTGTGTGCCTCGTGGGCTCTCTCTGTTCTTCTAAGTTAAGATTAATTCCGGTTCCTTTATTAAACACAAGAGAACATTTCACAACCTCGGTTTAATATGGATGACTAATGAATGACCTTTTGATTTGTGCAACACAGTGGATTATTAGTTGTTTGCTCCTGCTCCGTTGACCTAACAATGAAAAATTGGTTCCCCCCTTCCCTCCCTCCCTCCTTCCCTTTTTGCCTGACTTGCTAATAACGCCAAATGAATTTATTCGGAACCAAGAAATACGCCTGCACATTCGAGGTTGAAAAAGTCCTGGCTGCATTGGGAGGTAAGGACAAACAACAGACAACACAGAAGAACGTTTGAAGCAATTCAGAGAAGAGAAAATCAAAATGATTTTCCCCCAGAACTGGAGGCGGTGGAGGAGGGTGGAAGAAGAAGTGGAGAATTCTCAAGATTCATTCTGATATTCTTCCTAAGAGTGATGTGAACATGGCCTGGTTTTCTTCTGAACACAGAATACCAGAGTTGGAAAAAAATTTGGAGATCTTCTAGTCCAGGGGTGTCAAACTCAATTTCAATGAGGGCCACATCAGCGTTGTGGTTGACCCCGGGGTGTGTGTGACCAGGGTGGGCACGGCCTACTGGGTGGGCATGGATGGAGTGGGTGTGGCCTGCTGGGTGGGCATGGCTAGCTCTACATCGTTCGTGTCAAGGGTGCCTGTGGGGGCCTGGGCAGGAGTGGGACAGATCTGAGGGTCTCTGGCAAAAGGGGGTGGGACCAGGGCAAGCGCCAAGGCATGGTCCATTTCTTCATTCCTCACAAAGGGTGACACCTCCCCAGCATGCACCCAGGGGGCGGGGCCGACGCGGCAGGGCCTGGTTCCTCGCTGTTTCCAGACGGCCTTGTGGAGCTAAGACTGAATGCGTTTCAGCATAGAAACAAAATTCACCCACCAAATAAAAATTGTATTTTGGCTCACGGCCGGCCTGGGCCGGGCCAAGGCAGCGGGGGCCGTTCCCTCACTGTTTCCAGGATGGCTTTGCGGGCCACATGAAACCACTTTGTGGGCTGCATCCGGCCCCCGGGCCTTGTGTTTGACATGTCTGTTCTAGTCAAACCTCCTGCTCAAGCAGGAGACCCTGCATCAGTGTTTCTCAATCTTGACAATTTTAAGGCACGTGGACTTCAACTCCCAGAATTCCACAGCCAGCATTCCAGGTGAGACCACACCTGGAATACCGCAGCCAATTTTGGTCACCGTATCACAAAAAAGATGTTGAGACTTTGGAAAAAAAAATCAGAGAAGAGCAACTAAGGCGATCAAAGGCCTGGAGGCTAAAACATACAAAGAATGGCTGCAGGACTTGGGTCTGGCTAGTCTAAAGAAAAGAAGCAATAGGGGAGACATGATAGCAGCGTTCCGGTATCTGAGGGGCTGCCACAAAGAAGAGGGGGACACGTTATTCTCCAAAGCACCAGAGGGAAGGACAAGAAACAATGGTTGGGAAACTGTTCAAGGAGAGAAGCAACCTGGAATTAAGGAGAAACTTCCTGACAGTGAGGACAATCAACCAGGGGAACAGAAGTTGCTTTCAGAAATCATGGGCGCTCCATCACTGGAATATTTTAAAGAAGAGACTAGACATTCATATGTCTGAGACGGTATAGGTTCTTCTGCTTGAGCAGGGGGCTGGACTAGAAGACCTCCAAGGTCCCTTCCAGCTTCTATTCTATTCTATTCTATTCTATTCTATTCTATTCTATTCTATTCTATTCTATTCTATTCTATTCTATTCTATTCTATCCAGTTTTGGTCACCAGAGATGATTAGGGGACCGGAGGCTAAAGCATATAAGGAACGGAATTGCTGGAATTGGGGATGTCTAGTTTAATGAAGTGAAGGACAAGGGAGAACATGATAGCAGTCTTCCAATATCTGCCCTATATCATTTTGGACAAATGGCTGCCATGCCATTTTGATATTGCCTTCATTTCATCCCCAGCCCACTCCTAAGGCTATGGAGTCTTCTTAACTATGGCACTGGAAAAGTGACTTATAGCTGGTCCTCACACGTACGACCATCACAACATCTCCACAGTCTCATGATCATTTGGCGATTGGCATGGGTTTACAATGGTTGCGGTTTCCCAGATCAAGCTGTCACCGTTTGGGATCTTCCCAAGCTGGCTTCCAACAAGCCAAATTAAGGGAAGAAGCCAGATTTAGTTAACAACCCTGTGAGTCACTTAACAACGGCAGCGATATGCTTTAAAAAAAAAAAGGCCATAAAATTGAGTGTGACTCAACAATCGCCTTGCTTTGCCACAGAAATTCTGATCCCAATTGTGGTCATATGTTTAAGGAGCACAATGTTCATTGGGATAGCATGTAGTAATAATAATAAAGTTGGAAGGGACCTTGGAGGTCATCTAGTCCAACCCCCTGCTCAGGCAGGAAACCCTATACCATTTCGGACAAATGGCTGTCCAGTCTCTTCTTAAAAACCTCCAGTGTTGGAGCAATCACCGCTTCTGGAGGCAGGTTGTTCCACTGGTTAATTGTTCTAACTGTCAGGAAGTTTCTCCTTAGTTCCAGGTTGCTTATCTCCTTGATTAGTTTCCATCTGTTGCTTCTTGTCCTGCCTTCAGGCACTTTGGAGAATAGCTTGACTCCCTCTTCTTTGGGGCAGCCCCTGAGATACTGGAAGACTGCTATCCTGTCCCCCCTCATCCTTCTCTTCATTAAACTAGACATACCCAATTCCAGCAACTGTTCTGCATATGTTTTAGCCTCCAGTCCCCTAATCATCTTTGCTGTTCTTCTCTGCACTCTTTGTAGAGTCTCAACATCTTTTTTACATGTTGGGGATATTATGTTGGGGATATTAAGATATTACACCACCCCTCATGACCTACCCCAATATTTATTCCCTTCTTTTGTGTACATTTTATTCAAAATAGAAAAAAAAACAGACTAGTTCAATACATCAGTGGTTCTCCACTTTTCCAAAGGTGCTTTTTTTTTTCACGAGGCAACTGGACTTTTTTGTTTTTCTTTGAAGACGTTTTGCTTCTCACCCAAGAAGCTTCTTCACCTCTGACTGGATGGTGGGGAAGGGAAGGATTTATACTCCTTGCAGACAGCTGGTCATTTGCCTTCTTTTAGAGAGTCATTGAGGTCATCTGGAGATTTATCTGTGTCATCAGGGTCACTTGAGTGGTGCAAATGGGTGTGGAGCCTTCTTGGAACTGCTGAAAGGACTATGTTGTAGACTGGAGATAGATGATGTCATGGCCTCAACGATCCTCTAAAACAGGGGTTCTCAACCTTGGCAACTTTAAGACTTGTGGACTTCAACTCCCAGAATTCCTCAGCCAGCCTTGCTGGCTGAGAAATTCTGGGAGTTGAAGTCCACAAGTCTTAAAGTTGCCAAGGTTAAGAACCCCTGCTCTAAAAGAAGGCAAATGACCAGCTGTCTGCAAGGAGTATAAATCCTTCCATTCTCCCCTCCATCCAGTCACAGCTGAAGAAGCTTCTTGGATGAGAAGTGAAACGTCTTCAAAGAAAAACAAGAAAGTCCAATTGCCTCTTGAAAAAGCACCATTGGGATAACTATGACCTGAATGTCTGAGAAACTCCATAGACACTTTTCCACCTTTTTTTTCACCATGGGACCCCCTTTGAATACCTTTTGTGGCTGTGGACTCTCAAAATATAACTCAAGATTTAAATCATAACATTTCTTCAAGCCTTCACAGACCCGTGGACTACAGGTTGAGAATCGCTGCGATACGTGATGGATTGTTTAGCTTCAGCCTTGCGATTCCTGACTCGTTCAATAGCTTGGGCAACCAAACAAGCTGATGGGGGAATTGCCCTCAAAGTGATACGGGTTTATTTCTTCTCCACTCCACTTGAAGTGGAGAATACAAAAAGATAGTGACAGCCTCTGAGCACGGTTTCATTAGTGGTAGACAAGGCTGTCAGAGGGATGAAAAGAGAGAATTAAATAATCAAGACATTCTGGTGTCTGAGATACAGACCACGAAGTAGTTGACAGAAAGGTAGCAGATCAATGTTCTAAGGACAAGTTGACCCACAGCAATTTTTCAGGAATGGGGGTTTATACAGACCATTGCCTGGCACATGATGACATGGAAAAGTAGAGTCACCAATGGCTGATGCTGTCAGATTTTGCATTTTTGCAAAAATGGTTACTATTTGTTTATTCATCAAACCGATATAGCAATAGCACTTAGACTTATATACCACTTCATGGTGTTTAACAGCCTTCTCTAAGAGGTTTACCGAGTCAGCATATTGTCACCAACAACCTGAGTCCTCATTTAATTGACATCAGAAGGTCAATTAGGAAAAAAGAAAAAATCAAATGCACAGGTATAGTATAGGGCAGTGGTAACGAACCTATGGCACAGATGCCAGAGGTGGCACTCAGAGCTCTCTCTGTGGGCACGCACACCGTTGCCCCAATCCTAGGCCTTCAGCTGGGTTTTATAAAACTTTTTCGCTTTAGACCTCCACTGCTGTGTGCAAAAAAAAAAAAGGTTCAATTAGTCAATTTCAACTTCTCGTGGAAAAAAAAAAAGATCTTGCAAAGTTGGAATTGATTGATTGAAGTTTTTAGTCCCACCTAGTCTGCCGTTACCACCGCAACCACGCTCACCCAATGGGCCACGCCCACCCAATGGGCCACGCCCACCCAATGGGCCACACCCACCTGGCACTCGACAATTCATAAGTGGGTTTTGGGCTGCAGTTTGGGCACTCAGTCTCTAAAAGATTCGCCGTCACTGGTATAGGGGGTACCTTGCTCAATAGTAGTAACTGTGAGAGGGATCTCGGAGTCCTAGTGGACAATCACTTAAATATGAGCCAGCAGTGTGCTGCAGCTGCCAAAAAAGCCAACATAGTGCTAGGCTGCATTAACAGAGGAATAGAATCAAGATCACGTGAAGTTTAATATGACTTTACAATGCCTTGGTAAGGCCACATTTGGAATACTGCATCCAGTTTTGGTCACCACGATGTAAAAAAGATGTTGAGACTCTAGAAAGAGTGTAGAGAAGAGCAACAAAGATAATCAGGGGACTGGAGGCTAGAACACTGATACGCTGCTAAGCATAGAACGGTTGCAGAAATTGGGTATGTCTAGTTTAATGAAGAGAAGGACAAGCGGGGACATGATAGCTGTGTTCCAATATCTCAGGGGCTGCCCAAAGAAGAGGGAGTCAAGCTATTTTCCAAAGCACCTGAAGGCAGGACAAGAAGCAACGGGTGGAAACTAATCAAAGAGAGAAGCAACCTAGAACTAAGGAGAAACTTCCTGACAGTGAGAACAATTAATCAGTGGAACAGCTTGCCTCCAGAAGCAGTAAATGCTCCAACACTGGAAGTTTTTAAGAAGAGACTGGACAGCCATTTGTCCAAAATGGTGTAGGGTTTCCTGCCCGAGCAGGGGGTTGGACTAGATGACCTTCAAGGTCCCTTCCAACTTTACTACTACTATTATTATTATTATTATAAAAAAGTGGCATCAACGCAGAGAACTGGTTGTTCACCTATTTGAATCCCACCACTGGGTTATAACACTTTGTTAGCTTGGTCTCACTGTTGTCCCAAGCTTTTAGCCTGATATGGCTGCCGAGACCCCCCTCAAGCCATGTCCAAATACAGACAAAATAACATCCCATACAGCCATCCAGGGAAATCACTTTTATCCCTTTCCAGGGCTAAGAATCAAACCCAGCCAGTCTTCATTCAGAGCAAGGCCGGGAGAAGAGATTACCTTTAACTAAGCTCTCCTCCTGTTTCAGGGAAGGCAACCAAAGAGACACCTGCCAATTGCGCTGAAAGAGGATGGAAATGAAATCCATTCAAGCATAGCTGGGAAGCCTCCCTCTTCCATTATTCCTGGCGTAGCAGGGGAGAGCTTGACGGGAAGTGCCAGATACACAGCGCTGAATTCTCCTTATAGAAAAGCGACAGGGATGTTATGGAGCGCTCAGCCTGGGAAGGCAACCCGGATTTATACAGCAGCTTTCAATTTACCTTTTTTTGTTGCGGTTAACACATAATGAAGCCCACAGGGCAATCGCAGTGTGCCAAAGGGGGAAAAAAAAAAAAAAAAGAGAGAGAGAGAGAGAGAGAGAGAGCGAGAGAGAGAGCCTCTTCACTTTGTTTGAGTTGACCTTTAAAAAAACCCAGTTTGTCACTTCTGAATCTGTCTCACACAGTCTGATCTGTATCTATATATATCATCTATCTCTATTTATCATTATCTGTCTGTCTGTCTATCTATCTATCTATCTATCTATCATCTCTCTATCTATCTATCTATCTATCTATCTATCTCTATTGTCTATCTGTCTGTCTATATCTGTCTTATATCTCTGTATCTATTTCTATTCTGTCTGTCTGTCTGTCTGTCTGTCTGTCTCTCTATCTACTGTGTATATCTGTCTTATATCTCTGTATCTATTTCTATTCTGTTTGTCTGTCTGTCTGTCTGTTTGTCTGTCTGTCTCTCTCTCTCTCTCTCTCTCTCTCTCTCTATCTATCTATCTATCTACTGTGTTATCTGTCTTATATCTCTGTATCTATTTCTATTCTGTCTGTCTGTCTGTCTGTCTGTCTGTCTCTCTCTCTCTCTCTCTCTATCTATCTATCTATCTATCTACTGTGTATATCTGTCTTATATCTCTGTATCTATTTCTATTCTGTCTGTCTGTCTGTCTGTCTGTCTGTCTGTCTGTCTGTCTTCTCTCTCTCTCTCTCACTCTCTCTCCCATCTATCAAACATCTATATCTATAGATGATTGATATATAATTGATAATTGATATCTATATATATAATTGGTAATTGATATATAATTGGGAAGGCAGGTACAAAATCAAGTATTATGGTGAGTTTGGGGTATTTGTGTGAAGCTTCAAAAGATACCTAAATAGTGATAGATGGATAGACAGAAAAGAGAGAGACGGGGAGAGGGGAGAGAGAAAGAGAGAGAAAGAGAGAGAAGGAGAGAAAAGAGAGAAAGAGAAAGAGGGAGGGAGAGAAAGAGAGAGAGAGAGAGAGAGAGAGAGAGAGAGAGAGAGAGAGAGAGAGAGAGAGAGGAAGCACAAGTGCCCCCCTCCCTCCCTCCCTCTCCCTCTCTCCCTCTCCCCCCCCCTCTCCCATCTATCCATCTATCACTATCGAGGTATCTTTTGAAGCTTCACACAAATACCCCAAACTCACCATAACACTTGATTTTGTACCTGCCTTCCCAATTTCAACTCCCACTGGCTCCCAAAGAGACAGTCTTTTTTTTTAAAGCTGTCTTCATGTTTTTATTCATGTGTACTTTCAAGCACCTGTCTTTTCAAAGAGGCTTATTAGCAAAGCCCTGCAAGATCGCTCTTCTTATTGCCTGTGAAAAGCCACTAGCTCCATTTCCTAGCTTAGCAGCACTGAAAAACAATGCGCCAAAGGTTCTATGAAGCATGAAATAGCCCAGGATAGAGAGATTTTTTTTTCCCCACTTGGTGTTACTTGAACTTCCTTTAATTCAGTCGAGCACATTGTAAATCAGGTTAATTAAATGAAATTTCAGTAGCACCAAAAAAATGAGGAAGGAGAGGGAAGAAGGGAATGTTTATCATTTCAGTGGAATGTTTGTTGAGCAGTGGGTGTCCATATTTTGAGTTGGGTTAGGGTTAGGATAGGGGTTGAGGTTGAGGTTAGGGTTGAGGTTAGGGTTAGGGTGTTGGGGTTGGCTCTAGTGTTGCAGTTAGGTTAGGATTAGGTCTGGGGTTGGGGTTGGGGTTGGGGTTAGCATTAGCATTAGTGTTAGGGTTAGAGTTGGGGTTGTGGTTGGGGTTAGGGTTTGTGTTAGGGTTCGTTTTAGGGCTATGGTTGTGGCTATGGTTAGGGTTAGGGTTAGGGTTAGAGTTGGGATTGGGATTGGGGTTGGGGCTGGGGTTGTGGTTGTGGTTAGGGTTAGGGCTAGAGTTGGGGTTAGGGTTAGAGTTAGGATTGGGATTGGGATTGGGGTTGGGGCTGGGGCTGGGGCTGTGGTTGTGGTTAGGGCTAGGGCTAGAGTTGGGGTGGGGGCTTGGGCTTGGGGTTGGGTTATAGTTAGATTTGGGGTTGGGGTTGGGGTTGTGAATGCTCTAACATTGGAAGTTTTAAAGAAGAGACTGGACAACCATTTATCTGAAATGGTATAGGGTTTCCTGCCTGAGCAGGGGGTTGGACTAGATGACCTCCAAGGCCCCTTCCAACTCTGTTATTCTATACTATACTAAGTACCAAACATTTTTCCCCCATAAGGAAGCATGTAAAGATAACACAAGAGGATGTGCACATGGCAAGCATTATTGCATGACTAACGTGTGACCCTTTGTTTCAGCTGAAAAGTCACGCGGCAGCCAACACCAACAAGATCTAGCTTGCATGTTGAGTGCCCAACAAATGACAAGGTTTCTTCTCCTTCTCCTTCTCCTTCTCCTTCTCCTTCTCCTTCTCCTTCTCCTTCTCCTTCTCCTTCTCCTTCTTCTTCTTCTTCTTCTTCTTCTTCCCACCATACCGCTTGCACCAAGCAAACGAGAAATACTGGGACAATATTTTCATGTCAAAATTCTTCGAGTACCAAATTCGACCAGTTTCAAAGCAGCTGAGTACCAAGGTACCCCTGTAGTTAGAACTATCTCATGGTGCTTATGTTATTTGCTTCATGGATTTCTCATTCTCTCATAGATCAGTACTGTTGTTGGCAAGGAAAGCGTTGGCATAAAGCAGAAGACAGACAACTTGGTCAAGAAGAACTGGCTATGGAGAAAGATACATAAGATTTCGCTTCATCCTCCCAAGATGCTTCAGTCTTATCAAGACAAGAGTTATTGCGATTCTTTTTCTCCCATCAATAAACGAAGAGGAAAGAATTTTCTTGTAGAATAACTTCCCCCCCCACCCCTGTCCCAAAGAGATCATTGAATGAAACTCTGTCTTGATTGCACAGATGGGTGGCATTGAATAGGGCTATATGTATAATGAGTCAACGGATGGTGATGGCACTGGATCGCCAAAACGGCTCCAAATTAGTTCAGATGGCTTTTACAGAAGAATAGGGCTCGTTCCAAATCAATTTGGAAAACTGAGCTGAGGTGATCCAGTTCACTGGTTCGGTTTGAACACCTTGAATTCAGCTAGGACTCATTTGGCCCAGCTCTTTGAAATCCTCCAAATCTAACAGGACCCAAAATTCAGAACTGAATTACAAAGCCAATTTTTGCTGAGTCTTTACATTTTACAAATTCCCCAAGTCTACCTAAAATCAGGTACGAAGACCCGATTTTAAATGAAGGGGGAGGGGGAATCCTCCTAAGTTCAAGTTTCTTCTTGTCCCAAAGATGCTTTTTCAAAAGCAAACTTCTTCTTCTTCTTCTTGTGCCATATCCATTATCGGATGTTGGTGATCATGTTGGTGATGTTGTTTTTATCAGCAGCCGCACGAAAAAGTGCTGCTGAGTTTCGTCCAAACCAGTCCCTTAGATTTTGAAGCCACGATGTTCTTCTTCTGCCTGGACCTCGTTTGCCTTCAATCTTTCCCTGGAGGATTAAATGGAGTATGCCGTATTTTTCTGGGTGTCGCATCACATGTCCGAAATATTCTAATTTTCGTTTTTTAATTGTTTTGATGATTTCCCAGGCACCTTATCACCGGCTCATTTCTTTTTTTTAAAAAAGACATTTTTTTTTTAAATTCTTAAACAAAAGGTACTCAAGACCCATTGTGATGGTTGGGTGGTCAAACATTCAAAAGTGAATATATATATAAACAATACAACTCAATAAATTTCACTATCCCCTCTCTATTCCCCTCAGTTAACATAGTACATTTAAATATTAAAATAGAAATCACCAGCTCATCTATGATCTTGTCAACCCAGCTTATACGTAACAGCCGCCTGTAAATCCACATTTTCAAATGCTTCTAGTCTCTTCAGGTGGCTTTCTGTCAGAGACCAACTCTCTACTCCATAGAGCAGGATAGAAAAAACATAGCATTTGACAAGCCTGATTTTCAATCTTAGGCTTAGGTCGTGACTGCAGAAGACCTTTTTCATTTTGAAAAATGCTGTTCGAACTTTCTCTGTCCTTGTCTTTGCTTCAGTGATGGTGTCCCAGCTTTCATGTAAATTGGAACCGAGGTGTGCGATCCTTTCAACTTTTTCTAGTGGTATTCCTTCTGAATTTATTGGTGGTAAATTAACGGATTGTTTGCTGACGACCATGATCTTGGTTTTTGAGGCAACTGGACTTTGTTTTTCCTTGAAGATGTTTTACTTCCCATCCAAGAAGCTTCTTCAGTGCTGAGCGAATGGTGAAGGATGGGAGCATTTATATTCCTTGCAATCGTCTGGTCGTTAGGACTCTTTCTGAGAATTGTTGATGCCAATTGGAGGTGTAGAATCTTCTTGGAACTGCTGAAAGGACAGTATTGTAGACAGGAGACAAGTGGTGTCATATCCCTCCCCCACTGTTGAAAGAGGGCTGTTAATGTAGAGCAGTGGTTCTCAACCTGTGGGTCGGGAGCCCATTTGGGGTTGAACGACCATTTCACGGGGGTCGCCAAACAACGCAGTCCGCCATTTTTTCCCCCTTTTCCTTAGCTGTGCTACTCCCTTTTATTCTATTGGCTTTTGAAAGCCAATAGAATAGACTCTCTCTTGCCCTGCTGAGCCCGCCAAAAGTCCCAGTCTGCAAACGGGTGCTGCACCAGTTGAGTAGTCCTCAACTTACAACGGGTTGGGTAGTCCTCGACTTACGACCGGTTGGGAGTCGCGGCATTAAAAAGGTTGAGAACCACTGATGTAGATAGCCTCTTTGACCCCTCTTTCAGATCAGTGGTCTTCTCTGTCCAGAATGTGGACTTTGCAATATTTGCACAATTCAGGCCACTCTGAAGGCACAGATAAATCTCCAAGTGGTCTCAACGACTCACCGAAAGAATTCTAACTACCGTGATTGCAAGGAATATAAATCCTTCCATCGTGCACCATTCAGTCAGAACTGAAGAAGCTTCTTGGATGAGAAGCGAAACGTCTGCAAGGAAAAAACAAAGCTCAGTTGCCTTTTGCAAAAGCACCTTAGGGACAACCATGGCCTGGATGACTGACAATCTCCACAGACATTTTTTTTTTTTCGTCCTGGGACTAAAAATTAGCAGATTGACACAATCTCGGCTCATAGCCTGTGTTCTGTTGCTGAAAAACTATAGATCCTTTTACAAAGAATGCGGAAATTCATATCCCTGCCCCAAAGCCTAGATAGCGAAACAAATGCATTCTTGACTCAAATGCTTGGTTTCTATACTTTCTCCTTTGACCGGATCCTCATAAATTTAGGAAGAAAGTAACTGTGGTCCCTCTCAGCGGGTCTTGAAATGGATTCCTCTGATTCAGGGGTGAACAGCATGCATAATGCCAGATCTTGCAAAACTTCAGACGCGGCCAGGGATGAAGGATGCTGGGAATTCTAACATTCCAATTATATCTGAATGAAAGTTGCCTCCCGCTGTGTTGTTAAATTCAAGACTTGTATTTGTTGTCACCGGTTTCTTGGAAGGAGGAAACCGATGGTTCTTAAAACTGTTGCATTGCGACGATGGCTTCAGCTTCAGAGATTTCTTGTTCTTTGTTAGATAAGCAAATGAAGAAGGTGTGTTCTGGAAACACTGACAGAATTTGTCAAGCAGGCCTAGATAAACTACGCAGTGTAACTCTTAGTCATGCGCTATCAAAGAGCACGAAAAGCTTTCATTTCTCGTGACACATTGCTCAGCTGAAAATTATGTGGTGCTTCCCCCCCCCCCGTTTTCTTTCAAAAGCTGGTCCTTTTCTTTCTTTCTTGGATGCCTTTCGCTCTTCAATTGAACTTTCCCCCCCCCCCCCTTGTTCAAATCACGCTTATTGCTGAAGTTGAATGAGGCTGACTAAAAGCCTAATGACAGGCTGGAACAGAAGCGCTGCCCTGCAGCTCCCTAGATTCGTATGGACACGCAACCAGCATGATCACGAAAGAGTTCCAAGGACATCGCCTGAAACTTCAGAATGAAACTTGCACATTTGCAACTTGCGTTGCAGTTAGCTTATGGTGGACATTAAGCCGTAGGAAGGAATAGCCATAGCAGTAGCAGTTAGACTTATATACAGCCCCATAACACTCTCTAAGCCTTTATAATGTCAGCATATTATCTATGGTTTCTCATTTTACCGAAGTCGGAAGGATGGATCGCTGAGTCAGCTTTGAGCCTCATCAGGATCAAACTCCTGGCTGTGGGGTACAGTTTAATAATAATAAAGTTGCATCTAGTCCAACCCCCTGTTCAGGCAGGAAACCCTATACCATTTCAGACAAATGGCTGTCCAGTTTCTTCTTATAAACTTCCAGTGTTGGAGCATTCACCACTTCTGGAGGCAGATTGTTCCACTGGTTAATTGTTCTCACTGTCAGGAAGTTTCTCCTTAGTTCTAGGTTGCTTCTCTCCTTGATTAGTTTCCATCCGTTGCTTCTTGTCCTGCCTTCAGGCGCTTTGGAGAATAGCTTGACTCCCTCCTCTTTGGGGCAACCCCTGAGATATTGGAACGCTGCTATCATGTCACCCCTCGTCCTTCTCTTCATTAAACTGGACATACCCAATTCCAGCAACCGTTCCTTATATGTTTTAGCCTCCAGTCCCCTGATCATCTTTGTTGCTCTTTTTTCTGACCTAATACACACATTTTTTCTTCATAGGGAGGCGTTATCAAAAGTCTGAAGTCATTTGGTCTTGGTTCTATGATTGGCGTATGCAAATAAGAGCAGGAAAATCTGCAAAATACCGCAAGAGAGGGGACTAAGGCTAATCAAAGAATTGCAGAAGAGGGAAAAAAATTCAGTATACCTCTCACCTTCAATTCCTCTTTTCACACGGGTACAGTACTAATGCAAAATTAAAAGGTTGTTGGGAGAATTGTTGAGAAAATGCATATGAAGCATTTGTGAGTCTCTTTTACTGTATCAATTCTGAGTATGACTACAAGATGGTTAAAGAGATAGTGCAAGTTTTGAGTCTCAGGCCAAGAGCACAGAAAACAACTTGTAAATAAGCAAGGGGGCAGGCTTGGAAAAGAAGAGCAACAAAGATGATTAGGGGACTGGAGGCTAAAACACTGCTAAGCTGCTAAGCATAGAACGGTTGCAGGAATTGGGTATGTCTAGTTTCCTGAAAAGAAGGGCTAGGGGTGACATGACAGCAATATTCCAATATCTCAGGGGCGGCCCCAAAGAAGAGGGAATCAAGCTATTCTCCAAAGCACCTGAAGGCAGGACAAGAAGCAGCAGACGGAAACTAATCAAGGAGAGAAGCAACCTAGAACTAAGGAGAAACTTCCAGACAGTGAGAACAATAAATCAGTGGAAAGGCTTGTCTTTAGAAGTTGTGATTGCTCCATCACAACTTTAAGAAGAGATTGGACAACCATTGTCTGAAATGGTATAGGGCAGGGGTAGGCAACCTTGGCTCTTTTATGACTCGTGGACTTCAACTTCCAGAATTCCTGAGCCAGCCATGCTGAGGGGAAAGGGAGAGGTTTCCAAGCTGAGCCATGCTGGCTCAGGAATTCTGGGAGTTGAAGTCCACGAGTCATAAAAGAGCCAAGGTTGCCTACCCCTGGTATAGGGTTTCCTGCCTGAGCAGGGGGTTAGACTAGATAACCTGCAAGGTCCTTTCCAACTCTGTTATTCTGTTCTGTTATTCAAGATAAATATTCTTGATATTTTGGATAATCTCTGATGGTTTGTGCAGAAGTGAAAGCTGGCAAAAGGCAGCCCAGATCTGAGAACAGTATAAATATGAGGGCTTCTTTTCAACTGCACATGAATCTTTTACCTCAATGCG